ATTCCAACACAAAGCGCTTCCACTCATGTCACAGGTAGTCCATTTTCTACACTTAAATTCTCTAGGCAGCACTTTCTTAGATCTCCTCTACATAAGACTAAACATTTAAATCCTTGTCTCAAAATCAAGATATGTAAACTGTAAAAGGAGGAATTATCCCAACTATCCATAACCTACAAATTATTTAATTTCTAGTCCTAAATCTGTCTATTAAAAGGTATTCTGGGCCAGGCAGTGGCTCACGCCTGTAATCCCAGCACTTTGGGAAGCCAAGGTTGGTGAATCACTTGCAGTCAGGAGTTTGAGACCAGTCTGGCCAAGATGGTGAAACCCTGTCTCTACTGAAAATATAAAAATCAGCTGTGCATGGTGGTACACACCTGTAATCCTAGTTACTCAGGAGGCTGAGGCACAAGAATCGCTTGAACCTGGGAGGGAGAGGTTATAATGAGCCGAGATCGTGCCACTGCACTTAGCCTGAGTGACAGAGTGAGACTCCATCCCAAAAAAAAAAAAAAAAAAAAGTATTCTGGACATAAAAATCACCAACTCCTAGAACCCAACCATGCTCCCTGCACTAGAAGAAATCTAGTAGAGAGATTTTACTATTTTTAAATAAAGCCACAGGGTCCAAGAGTCCTGTTTCCCTGTATTAATCTATTATCAAAATTTCTTTTTGTCATAGATGTATTTTTTTCTTATTGTAGTGGAAAGCCTGATTCTTAATCAAATGTCTCAACAGTATATTGATTTTAACCAGAAGCTGATCTATCTAGAAAGTTAAAATTTCTTCAAATCAAATGAATTTTCTAGAGTTACCTCTTAGAAAAGACTTCCAATATGAAGAACCATCAAAGCAGATTCAACACCCTCAGAAACAAAGATGCTATTATAAAACAGAATATTCTAAATTTTCTAGTTCTAAGCCAACTCTCCTCACTGTTTTAAGCAATTGCAGTTTTGCACCAGACATGACTAGGTAGTCCCCTGAACTTGGGCAGCTCACCAGAAATATCCCAAACGCGCACAGTCTGGTCCAGGCTGGCTGATACAACCAAGTCTTCTGAGGGGTGGAACTGAGCACACATTACATAATGGTTGTGCCCTGTTAACACACTGCAAGAAAAAAAAAAGACAATACCAAATTAGAGGTGGAAGTCAACAGACTCCTAAAATACCTTTCTCTATATTCAATAAATACTTATCCAATTATACTTTTATGGAGACAAAGGTAGGTCATCCTCCCAATTCTGAACTAATAATAACAAGCCCAGTCAGCTATTTTAACAATAGTTCTCTTCTTGCCTCTAATGCTTTGGTATTTAAATATTACTAATTTCAGGAGAACTGAGATTGCATAGTTCTCCTTTCAAAAAGATTTAAAAATATCAAAACAAATGGAATCTCAGTAATCCATACAGTAAATTATCTGTGAGTTTTTGGTAGGGTATCCCTCTAAAAGGCCATCACTTTATTTATTCATTTTATTTTTTGAGATGGAGTTTCACTCTGTTGCCCAGGCTAGAGTACAGTGATGCGATCTCAGTTCACAGCAATCTCCGCCTCCTAGGTTTAAGCGATTATTTAGCCTCAGCCTCCCTAGTAGCTGGGACTACAGGCACGCACCACCGCGTCCGGCTAATTTTTGTATTTTTAGTAGAGACAGGGTTTCACCATTTTGGCCAGGCTGGTCTCGAACTCCTGACCTCAGGTGATTTGTCTGCCTCAGCCTCCCAAAGTGCTGGGATCACAGGCGTGAGCCACCAAGCCGGGCCAAGGCCATCACTTTAAATGGTCTCTACTTCATGGAAAGTTCTATGTAAAGCTCCAGCCCCGAACACAAGACAAAGGTTTAGAACATGACTCAGGTTTTATGGGAAAATTACTGAAAACCAGCTAAAAGTTTGTGTTCTAAAAGGCTATATAATTTCTCTTCCTGGTAAGAAATTATTGGAAGATCCAGATTCATATATGGGAGTGTCTCTACATTTATTATTTTGCACTTAAAAGCATCTTACAAATACAATAAGTAAGTAATCAGCAGACACGGCCCATTTGGGAAGGGAGACAATTGTTCTAAGAGAAGCTGATTATGAAAAACTAGGAAAAATGAAGACTCTTTCTGAGCCCTCTGCCTCCTGCTTTACCAAACACAGGTTCTAGATTGCCAGTTCCACACTCGGATGGTCTGATCATCTGAGGCACTCAGAATCCAGGGATATTCCTGAAAGACATTCCAGACAAATGCTTTAAACATTAAACAAATTTATTCTTTCAGGCTCTTGTAATCATTTTTCTCTAAAGAATTCTATTGCTTAACGGCTCAGCTACATTAGCCAAGGGGCTGCTGCTTTTGCTATCAGGTTAGCTGTCTCCTTTTCTCTACTACTCTAATAGCTTTTCTCAGCTTTGGCACTTTCACCTGTAAGACTTAAGAACGGAAGCCAGTCAGAGGCACGACAGATTCTCAGAGGCAGACAGTAAAATATACATTTACATTTACTTCTGCATATGTGTGTATTTATATTTACAAATAATAATGTAAATTAAGATCCTGTGAAAGGCTCTTCTATCTTTAACTCGAGGATGGGAATATTATTTTATTGTCTGACTTCTTTCTGTTCAGTTTCAAAAAATTCCCAAGTCTCAGCAACCAAGGCACAAAGTAACATGTAAAGACAATTTAGTCTTTTTGGAGTCTATAAGATTGTCGAGAAAAGGAAGTATTTCTTACCTACACTTCCTTCTTACTACACTTGCTAAGCTGTGTGTTAAACACTGAAATAGACGGTATCTCTACCTTCAGTATTTAGCACAAAGCTTAGCAAGTACAAGGCACACACATATTTATTGAGCTGGTAAAATTTAAAAAAATAAGGTTTTTCATAACTTTCCAGGTAGACAGCAACTTGTTCTAGGGCAAGGGTCTTCAGGAAGTCCTTCAGGCAATGACAAATAATTCCTACTTAATAGATTATCTTATTGAGTGGTTATCATTCTCAAATGTTTAAGTTGTAATTTTCTCATTCTCATTCTCTCCTATCCTAAAATTTTTTAATTAAAAAAAAAATACTCAACCAGTAAATTATTGTTTATTTTATCATATTCTTTCTAACTTAATTCAAGAGACTTAATTTATTGGCAATCAAGTAATAGTGCAACTTAATGCTAACAGCACAAAATTATAGGGAGATCCTGCCAGGTTGCGACTGGACTCAGAGGTTGAGAGTCTGTAATCTGTATCTCACTATCTAAATTTATTATGATACCTGGCAGGTCAAAGAAAATAGTAAGTCTGGCTAAGGGAACAGCCTGCAGCAGCCCCAAAAATCGTAGAATAGAGGGGCATGAGTGTTAATACTTCAAAACATTTGCTAGGGCATCAAAATGTCATCTTAGTTTGACCTTCTTCCAAACCCACCTACCACTTACTAATAATACCTTACATAAGATTAGCCTGCAAACTTTTATTTTCTGGTACAGCATACCTGAAATCAAATCCCTACTTTTCCTTACACAGAAACAATGACTTCCCATAGAATCTACTGCAACCAATAAAATTAAATTCAGTATAATCTCAAGTGCTTCCTTTTACAGAAAGAAACAAAGCAGAGGCCGGGTGCGGTGGCTCACACCTGTAATCCCAGCACTTTGGGAGATTTAGGAGGGTAGATCACGAGGTCAGGAGTTCAAGACCAGCCTGGCCAAGATGGTGAAACCTGTCTCTACTAAAACTACAAAAATTTGCCAGGCATGGTGGCAGACACCTATAAACCCAGCTACTTGGGAGGCTGAGGCAGGAGAATTGCCTGAACCTGGGCGGCAAAGGTTGCAGTGAGCTGAGATTGTGCCACCGCACGCCAGCCTGGGCAACAGAGTGAGACTCCGTCTCAAACAAAAAAGCAACAAAGCAGAAAGGTCAATACTACACAGATCCTAGAAGAGCCACTCCAACAACATAACTCTATTATCAAAACATGGGTTCTCAAGGATCAAATAAAGATTACTATGGGGAAATTAAGAATACTCCAAAACTAGCACCACTGTGGCTACTTACATGATGAAAAAATGTGGTGCGAATATAATCTAAGTGCCCAAGCAACGTGAAAAGACAGCGCCGAAGCTTGTAATTCCAAACCTGCAAAGATAGAAATCAAACTAAGAAACAGATATATCAAGTTACTGAGCCTCTGAAAGGCTCAGATTTTTCTGAGTCTTTCAGAGGCTTAATACCTTTACAGACATATAAATATGGGTTTATATATATATTTGTATTTTGGCATTTCTAAATAGGTAGGAACCTTGGTAGGAAGCCTTGTTTAAGATTTGAGGGAAAAAGAACAAGAATGAAAATACAGGTCAGATAAACAACGTGGGGTTGGGGTAGGATTAGAGAAAAGCTAAAGATAATATTGAAAAGTTTTTCTTTATTTGGGAAGAAACCATCTGTATTTAGTAACAGGAGATATTTAACCAGGGTTTGATTTGAAACTCTTTTTTCTTCTGCCTAATTGTGCTCTCGGCTTCAATATAGACCCTTTAAGTGCTTTACCCATCACTTTTAAAAAGTAGGGCAGGCTGGTCATGATGGCTCATGCCTGTAATCCCAGCACTTTCAGAGGCTGAGGTGGGTGGATCACAAGGTCAGGAGTTCAAGACCAGCCTGACCAACATAGTGAAACCCCGTATCTACTAAAAATAAAAAAAATTAGCTGGTATGGTGGTGTGTATCTGTAGTCCCAGCTACTCAGGAGGCTGAGGCAGGTGAATTTGCTTGAACCCAGGAGGCGGAGGTTGCAATGAGCCGAGATAGTGGCACTGTACTCAAGCCTGGGCAACAGAATGAGACTTCAACTCAAAAAAAAAAAAAAAAAAAAAAAAAAAAAAAAAAAAA